ACCACCCCACCCAACCCCACCGCTCTAGCCCATAGCCTTGAGAACCTTACCCTTACCCACAACAATCCCACCTGGTTCATGGACACTGGAGCCTCTCACCATATCACTGCTGACCCAGGTACTTTATCTCATGTATTTTCTTCAAGCATTAATTCTCCTATGCATATTATTGTTGGTAATGGTTCTAAAGTGAGCATTACTGGTCATGGTACTGGCACCCTTCCCACATCCCCTCCCCTCACCCTAAATAATGTCCTCATTTACCCACATATCATTCACAATCTTATATCTGTTCGTCAATTTACTCGTGATAACAACTGCACTCTTGAATTTGATTCATGTGGTTTCTCTGTTAAGGACAAATTGACGGGAGCCGTGATTCATCGATCCAATAGTGACGGACCTCTCTATCCCATCTCCCAAGCCTCCTCCAGCGCTCACCTTCACCTAGCACAAGTTGATCTCCCCACCTGGCATCGCCGTCTCGGACACCCAAGCCCAGCTGTTCTCCATGGCGTGTCACATTCCTTAGAGAGATTAGCTAAATTAGATTTTTTATGTCATGCATGTCAATTAGGCAAACATGTTCGCCTACCATTTCAGTCTTCGAGTCGTATTACTACTTTCCCTTTTCAATTAATGCATACGGACTTATGGCAATCTCCTGTCCCTAGTGTAACTGGTTTCAAATTTTACATGCTTTTACTTGATGATTTTTCTCATTATTTATGGATCTTTCCTCTCCACCACAAATCTGATGCATATTCTCACCTTGTTAAATTTCATGCTCTTGTTAAAAATCAATTTAACACTACCATTAAATCTGTACAATGTGATAATGGCACCGAATATAGAAATACCCCCGCTTGCAACATTCACCGAATCTGTACAATGTGATAACGGCCGCGCTGAACGAACCATCCGTACTTTAAATAACACTGTTCGCACCCTCCTCTTTCAAGCTAATCTCCCTCCTCAATTTTGGGTCGAAGCCTTACACATGGCTACTCACCTTTTTAACATCCTTCCCACCACCACTCTAAACAACCGCACCCCTCATGAAGCGTTATATCGCACTCCACCGTCTTACACACACCTCCGCGTCTACGGATGCCTCTGTTATCCTAACCTCTCTGCCACTGCTCCCCATAAACTAGCCCCATGTTCCGCCCGTTGTATCTTCCTTGGCTACCCCATGTCTCAGCGCGACTACCGGTGCTTGGACCTCGCCACTCATAAGATCATTGTCTCTCGTCATGTCACCTTTGATG